CTAGAGAGACGTCGTTTGAGAGAGCACGCTGATCTCTACATCAATGCACGCTGATCTCACCACCTCTCGCGGTGGGTGGGAAGCGTTGGAACGGGGTCGATGGTTGCAGGCCCGTAAGGATTAGCGCCCTAACCGCGCAATTTTTGCGACGAAGCTGGAGTGATCTAGGTAGTTACAGACCTTACAATTTCCCTCGTGGTATCCCTCCTACTAGTCGGGCCAATCCCGGGGTTTGCCTCGAAGGTCTATACACCTGCTTTGTTTGCGCTGAATTCCCATTTTAGACGCCGAAAAAGCTGTCGTTCAGCGGCCTGTTCACTGTGTACATCTTCGCATCGTGCATCTGCAGCACACGTTCCTGCAGGAGGTTCTCGTCACTAAAGAGAACGAAAGCTGATCAAATTCTCATTATTTTTGTGCAAAATTACATGGGCACTAAACGTCGAAATTGTCTGACAGGCCCAATGGTGTCTGGCAGACCAAAGCACCTGGTGTGTTGAAAGAGTGACTGTGGCACCAGAGTCAGTCTTTCAACACACAGATTACAGTACACGGCAGGAATGAGTTTGTTTATTAGGCAGTACTGACCTGGCCAGTTACCTTCCTCCCCTGCTGCGACTTCTTCTCTCAGAATGAACAATGTCAGTTATACTGGAAAATGATTAATTTGCATTTTTAGAATAAAAGGTTTTGTCGATGCGCCAAATTTGGGTGCTACCGCGATTTCGGGACTGGACTAATAAAAGACGACCGGTTATTTGCTGTTATTAATGAAGTGAATTCAAGCGCGAGCCTCTTCTTCGTTTTCAAGTTTATATTAGTCAATAGGTTGTGCTTTGACTGTTAGCTCTTTTACTTACGATTCCTACAAGCTTCGCTTTTGTGTTCGAAGCAGGGTCTGGGCTTAGAGACCTGAAGAAACTCTTGCAGTGGATAGAGCTCCTAGGTCCATCACTGCAGTGCTCGCGCCAGTTTCGCGCCTCTAAACGAGTACTAAGACGTTAGGGTTTGAAATTTGGATCCCTGTACATCCACGTGGACCAGGCACGCACACCGCTTCGATGGCTTATCTATGTGTATCACTGATCTGCTATGCTCTCTTGTCTCGGAGATATTTTCCCCTCCGCGCTCACTCTATCTCCTTATCTCGTTGTCTGCCGCTCGAATTTCTCCACAGCGTAGAGCGATGAAAAAGAGATCGCATTTTCGAAATTTTTGACGGTTTCTCATCCTCTCTCCTCCACTTGCTGTCCGCTTCGCATCTCTATCTTCGTTGCCAGTAAGATAACCACACCGATTTGATACGGTGCGTTACCCTTAATTAATTTGAATTTTTTGACAACTTGAGTCCTGAGCACAAAAATAAATAAACTTTATGGGCCAT